AGATCTTTCCAATTGATTTAAAGAACCACTCAGCGTGAAGAGGTGGTTCCAATGTAAATGCTGTTCTCTCGAAGTGTCTGAAAACACCAGACCTGTGTGTCCCCATGTGTGGCTGGTTTCACTGTTCTTAATGGGGAGTCATCCTCCAGTACGAGGTTCTGGAAGAAGAGCCATCATTCTGGTCTCCTGACTCTTTGGCATTGCAAGTGTGCTATGAAAGCACTTCAAGAATTGCTTCGGCAGAAGCACCGTGTATTTCAGTAGGTAACCCAGCCAAGTGAAACTACTAGAAATAGAATCATAGAACCATTAAGGTTGGAAAAGACCTCTAGGATCACTGAGCCCAACCCCAGCCCAACTCCACCATGTCCACTTTCCACATCCCTCAGTGCCACATCTCCATGGTTCTTGAGCATCTTCACAGACAGGACCCCACCACTCCCTGGGCAGCTGTGCCACTGCATCACCACTCCTTTGAGAAGAAATGTCTTTATTCTGAGTGGAGCCACTGATGGACATCGAAAGAAGATTCAACACTGCAAAATTTTTCACTTGAAACAAATCACGTTCTGCTCTCCCACTGTAGAGCTCTCCATTGCAGTCAATGAGTCATGGAAAAGAAGAGGGGATGGCAGAACAAAGCTCCACACTTGCCCTAGTGAAGCCCCCAGTGATGTGTCACTGTGGGTTACTATGGAGTTATTGAAGAAATGCTCATTTTGCTGATCAATGTGTTTGTGTGTAGGTATGCAGAAATCAGCTCAGGCTGTGCATCTCCTGCAGGAAATCTGCATTCAGCCCATGGGAAGTCTTCTGAGGGGCAGAACTTCAGAGAAGTACTGGGAGGAACAGCTTTAAGTGAAATATGGATGTGCACCTAAATCCTTTAAGCTGTTTGGAGTATCTCAAATGGTTTAGTACAGCTGTATGCGTGCTCAGATACTAAAACATACAAGAGATTTATCATTTAACTTATTAAAATAGCAGGAGAGCCCCTGAATCAGGGTGCATCAGACCAGGTGGCATCATCCTGCTGTGACAATGGTGAGCTAAAAGTGCTGCAGATGTTTTCCCAGAGGAGCCCATATTGCAGGAAGGTGTGTTTGGGCAGATCCCACCCCAAGGTCAAGAAGGGGCTGTGAGGGGACAGTGCATTGGCACTGCTTTTAGAGTTGAGGCGTCACTGTGCCTCCAAGGAGGGCTGGAGGGAACAAATGCATGAACCCACTTTACTTTTATGATGTTTGAAGTTGGAAACTGCCATCCAGACTGGATTTCTTATGGGGTCTGCATTGCAGATCAGAAAGTAGCAGGGTTAAAATGGGCTTCCCAGAGAATTTCTGCATTTTGGAGGGGACTTGGACTGAAAATGTTGAAGGGAGGAGAGCCATTTCTAGGATTCTTGCTGGGGTCTTGCTGCCTGTCCTGAAACAGAAAGGAACAAAAATCCAAGGGCTTTCTCCATCATGCCCGTGCTGAGAATGAAGGCAGATGGATTGCAAAGTGCAGCATGCCTCTGGGGGCCTAACACTGCCTGTTCCTTCCCTTAATTCCTAGCCAGGTCTCGCCCCTTCCAGAGGAGGCACAGCAAGATCAGCCCAAGGTTCAGGATCCAGGTGTGTCCTGGGGAGGGAAATGGGGAGAGAATGGGTTTGGCACAGGCACTCTGTGGCCTCTCACACCTCCATCCTCTGTTTGGATCTCCTGGAAGAGAAATAAATAAGAATATACATATAGAAGCCAATGCATTCCTAAGGGAGAGGTATGAGCATCACTGGAGGTATTATGCTCTCACATGGTATTACCCCTGCATCATCTGGGGGTAACTGGATGTGAGACACACTCTGATCCTCCCAAGCCTTTAATTGGATGCATGAAAAGTTCAAAATGCGAGTGGCTCCCGTGCTTCCCCCGGCTGTGAGACACACCAGTCCGTGCCACACAAGGCGTTTGTCAACGAGCCGAGCTGGAGGAAAGCTGGGGGAATACCTCGCACGGCTGCAGACGCCCACCCTTACTTCGTTCTGAAAATCAAATAATGCAGTCGGGAGAGCGGCGAGCAGCAGCGACGGGGCAGTGAAGGATGCAGCCGGGCAGCACAGTGGTTTCCCGAGACCCCCGCACCCCCCGGCCTCCCTGCTGCCCGCTCTGTAGGGCCGGGGCTGGAACAATGCGTCCCGGCTAAGTGGAGCCTTCTGTCCCCAGCTGCATCGGGGCCGGGCTCGCCCCAACCTGCAAGCCTTTTGCTTTCCTCCTTTTTTGCTCTCTCAAAATCAATTTGCGGACAGCTCGCTCATTTTTCCCCCTCGCGAACTTATTAGCTATTCAGCCCCGGCGAGCACTCGTAAGCATCCTTTGTCCCAGGGAGGGCCGGAGCTCCCTTCATTAGCGGTGATTACCCTGAGCGGTCTGACAGCCTCCCAGCCCGCTTACAAGACTTTCCCATTCAGCCCCGCTCGGGGCTGCCCCTCTTCTCAAAAGAAACGGAAATATTCCACCATTTCTCCTCCCCCCTCCCCGGCTGAATAGAGGAAAAGCTGCTTCTCTCCTCCGCCCTCCCCGTTCGCTTCACTTTTGATACAATATTTTCCTTCTTTGTTAAACCGGAGAGAGAGGGGTCAAGGCAGACTTTTAGCGACCCTTTTCTGAGAGCCGTGTTTAATGTCAATACCTCTCCCCCCTTCCTTCCCCCGATTATTATTATAATTTTTCTAACAGCGGAAACCTCGGGAGGGACGAAGCGAAAAGGAGAGAGAAAAAAAAAAAAAAGAAAGAAAAAGAAAAAAGGACAAAATGCGAAAAGGGAAAGGCGTTGCCTTTCGGTGCGGGAAGGGAAAAAGCAGAGGGGAAAAACACGTAGGATTTTCCTCCGGGGGTCGTAGAGGAAAAGCCGAGCTTCGGAGGGGGAAACCGGGGCCTGGAGGGTGTAAGCGGGGCCGGGCGCTGCTCGGGCCCCCCGTGCTCCCATCCGTGGGTTCGGACATCTGAGGGGCCTCGGAGCGCACCGTGCAGCTCTGGTGGCATTTCAACCCTTTGTCGGAAAATATCGAACAGTCGTCGCTGCCCAGAGCCTAAATCCCGGTTTTTGTAGTTAGGAAGGAGGTCTAACCCAGGGAGGCAGGCTGTGTGGGTTCATGGAATTATCTCCTTCTTTATATGTCTTTTGGAAAGGGTTAATTCCTCACAACCAGGCGCTACAACCGCTGCGCCCGCAGAAGCCAAGGGAGAAACTACGACGCGCTGCGCCTATTCCTTCGGAAAAGAAATAATTATATATATATATACACACACATATATATGTATATAATAATGAATTAACGGCGCTTTGTTTCAGCCGATTCCATTCTAGGGATGAAATCAGGATTTTTTTTTCGCTTTCCCCAAAACTCCCGGCTAAGAAACCCATCGATGGCCGCCCCGTTCGGCTTCTATCGGCCAAAAAGAAAAATCCCGAGGAAGGCAAAACGCGGTGCCAGGCTCCGGTCACGGCAGGCGGAACCGGGCACAGCCCCGTGGGCTACGCGGAGCTGGGAGCCTCAGCCCTGGGCCCGTTCCCCAAACCAGGATGCGCCGATGTCACCCCGAGGGGAATCCGGGGCTCGGGAAGGGATTTGAAAGCAGCTCGGCAATACCTGGAGCCGGCCCCGTCCTTGGGAAAAGCGGCTCTCACGCGCGGAACCGACCAAAGGCGGCTGCGGGGAAACGGCGGCACTGCGGTGCGGGCGGAGGGGGAAAGGAACATCGCCTCGAAACGGAGCCGAAAGCGGCGGTGCCCCCCGGGCTGTGCCGGGCTCGGGCTGAGGAAGGCGGCGAGCAATCAGCTTAGCGGGAGGCTCGGCGAGGACACGACGGCGAACGCGATGAGAGCGAGCGGACAAAAAAAGCACAGCTCAGGCGATTTAAAGATCAATGTCAAATTGTATAATATAAAATCCTTCTGCTGAGGGTGAAAGCTTAGCCTGCTCCTCGGAGCCGCCGTTTGCTTTCCTGCCGAAAAAAACAGCCGTCAAACAGAAGGGGGTGACCCCGCGGCGCTGGGATTTCGGGTCACTTCGCCCCGATCCGACCCTGCCCGGGCACGGAGCTGCTCATTTCCAGCCCCTTTGCACTCACCGGGGAGGAATCCCGGCGTCCCCGCCTTGGCACGATTCCCCCTTCTTTCTCCTCTCCTCGTTTTTTCCCCTCCTTTTCCCCATTCCTTCCCCCGAAATCTCTAACCCGAGAGACCGCAGCCCTGCCTCCTCCCTCCTTTCCCCGCGCACCGCATCCTCCTACGGCCGCTCCCCTCGCCCCATCCCGACCCCCCCATTGCCGACACTTCACCCCGTGTCGGGACGCGGCTCTTTGGTTCCGAAGTGCCCGCGGCTGCCGGAGCTGCGCTGCGCGGACCGCCGGGCCCGGGGCCGAAAGCTGTCATTTGAAAGCAGATCCGAAGGTCGTTCACCAAATATTTTATTACGGTTTTTAGGCTGCTTCATACACTTTTCGTCCTGCACATGCTCTACAAGTCACCTGTGCACATAGAGAACAAGCCAAAAAAAAAAAAAAAATTAATAATAATAATAATAGAAAAAAAATCTACCATCGCCATCCGTTAAATAAGTAAATAAACATTATATATATATATAAAAACCCCTTTAAAGTAAAGCGAAACCCAGCCACGAGAACAGCGCCTGTTCCACACGGAGCCTCCCCCCATCCAGATAAGGGCGCTCGGGCATTTTGCAGTTGGCATTCTTTTTCTTTTCTTTTTCTTTTTAAAAACATTTTCTGTATTTTTTTTTTCCTTTTTCCCCCTTTTTTTTCCTCTTTTTTTTTTCTTTTTTCCCCTTTTCATTTTTCCCTTTCTCTTTTCTTTCTTTCTTTCTTTCTTTCTTTCTTTCTTTCTTTCTTTCTGTCTTTCTGTCTTTCTGTCTTTCTGTCTTTCTGTCTTTCTGTCTTTCTGTCTTTCTGTCTTTCTTTCTTCCTTGCTTGCTTCCTTCCTTCCTTCCTTCCTTCCTTCTTCTTTCTTTTTTCCTTTTCTTTTTTTTTTCCAGGCATGAATTCTGCGAATCCTCGGAAATAAAGGCGACAACGATTTTGTTTTGTTTTGTTTTCTCACGGGTTTTAATGCAGTCCTCTGCGGGTCCGGCGGCTCGGGGGGGGTTCCGTAGCCCGGCTCCGGGCGCAGCGGTAGGCACTGGGGAGCTCCCCCCGCTTCGTCATGGCGCTCGGTGTCAGATGTCACATTCACTGTCGCTGGATGTGATGGAGATGGCGGAGGTGGCCGCTTTGCTGGAGAGGCTGACGGCTGGGCTGGAGGCCGCCCCCCCCGCCTCCCCGCCGCTCTCCTCCTCCGCTTGCAGCGATCGCCCCGAGCCCTGCGCTAGGACCTGCTGCTGTAGCCTGCAAGGAAGCGGCACATCGAGCGTCACCGGGGGGCACACGGAGCATCCCCGCCATCCTGCAGCCCCTTCCCCGATGGGCAGCGGCCCCTCCCAGCCCGGCTGCCCAGCCCGGCCCTACTGCTGAGGCTTTCGGGCTTTTCTCCCTGCTTTGGGGGTGCCGATAAAAGCCATCGCCCCGACGTGGCAGGTGACAAGCTTGCCTCTTTCTCCCCCAGGCTCGTGGAGCACTGAGTACCGAGGGGAGCCGCTCGCTTCACCGCCTGCCTGATTGTGCCAGGTTAAAATGAAAAAAAAAAAAGAAGAAAAAAAAATAAAAGAGAGAGAAGAGAAAGGAAAAAAAAAAAAACAAAAAAAAACAACAACCCAAAAGTGACCCAAGGAGCGTTGTTGTGTGGCTTCAAGAATTAGCGCACAGCGGGGATATTGGGCCGGAACACCGCATCGCTGGCCCTGCTCCGGACAGACAGACACAGTGAACGAGGTGTCCGTATGTCCGGGCACAGTTCCGGAGGGCTTCTGCCCGCCCCATCGGAGCGCACAGCCCTGCTCTGTGCGGGTCAATCCGAGCTGCAGAGCACATGGGGCTGCCCGAGCCGGGATAAAAATACAAATAAAATAAATCATAATAATAATAATATATTTTAAAAGGAACGATGATGGTGATGATGATAATGATAATAAAAGAAACTCAGCTGTCGGGTTTTCCCTCTGCTCCCGCTTTCCCTCGCTGCTTTGCCCTTACAGGACCGCCCCGAGGCTCTGCCTGCCGGGCCGAACCCCTCCCGGCCCCGCGGCCGCCAGCCCTGCGGTCGGGCAGCACCTACCTGTTCTTGGCGGCCGCCGCCCTGTCCCTTTGCCTGCGGTTTTTGAACCAGTTGCCCACCTGCGTGGGGGTAAGTCCCGTGGCCTGAGCCAGTTCCCTCTTTTTGCTGGGGTTGGGGTAAGGGTCCTGCAGGTACCACTCCCTCAGCAAATGCCTCGTCCGCTCCTTGAAGCAATGCGTCTTCTGCTCGCCGTCCCAGATGGTGCGCGGCAGAGGGAACTTCTTCCTCACCCGGTATTTGTCCACCGGCCCCAAGGGTCGACCCCGCAGCTTCTCCGCCTCCTGGTAGTGCGCTTCCAGCCACAGGGCTTGCAGCTTGCCGTGGGACTCCTTGGTGAACTTGTGGTTCTCCAGGATATGGTAGAGCTCTCTGTAGTTCCCCGTGTGAAAGGCCACGATGGCCCGGGCTCTCAGCACCGACTCGTTCTTGTTGAGCGCTTCGCAAGCCGCCGGGGCCACGGGCAGGGACCAGAGGAAGCGCCCCAGGCGCTCAATGTCCCCGCTTTCCTCCAGGGTCTCGCATACCCCGGCCACCTGCTGCGGGCTGAAATTGAGGATAGGCAGCTGGAACATGGAGGCGGCTCCGATGCCCCCCGCCGCCGGCTCGCACAGCCCCGCGGCGGGGAAGCGGGCAGCGGCCCCGGCGGCCGCCCCGAGCCCCGCTTCTGCCTCGCCCGGAGCCGGCGGAGAGAGGGAGCTGCGGCCGGAGGGCGGCGCGGCGCGGAGAGGCGACGGGGAGCGCTCGGCGGCGACTGGGGGCGGTGGGTAGGGGCGAGGAGGAGGAGGATGGAGGAAAGGGGGGAGGGCGGGCGTGGGGGGAGGGAGGGAAGGGAAATGGAAGGAAAAAAAAAAGAAAGAAAGAAAGAAAGAAAAACGGGAAAAAAATAAAAAGGGAAAAAAGAAAAGGCACAACCCCGGCTCCACGCCGCCACCGCCGTGCTGCAGCGGGAGAGGCTGATTCGCTGCCGGGCTCGGCAGATTGGCTCCGGGTTTCCATGGCGGGGCTGCCACTCACTGTCAGCCGCTGCCAATCACGGCGGCGGGCAGCGCCGCTGAGCCCGGGGCACCTCCCCGACAGCCGCAGCTCCCGCTGCCCCGGGCCGGGTCCCCGCCCCACTCCCAGGGGTCCCCACCCTGGTCCCGAGGGGTCTCCGACTCTCTCCTGGGTGCCCCCGACCCGTTCCGTGGGGTCCCCGTCCAGCTCCGAGGATCCCCGATCGGCTCCGGGGCTATCCGTCTCGCTCCCGGGGGTCCCAGTGCCACTCTCGGGGCACCCTGTCCCGTCCCCGAGGGTTCCCGTTCAGCTCCCGGGGTCCCCCACTCGCTCCGGTGCTCTCTGTTTCTCTCCGACATGTCTCCGCCCCGCTGCCAGGGCTCCTCGTCCTGCTCCCAGGGGTCCCCGTGCCACTCCCGTGAGTTCTTGTCTTCTGTCGGGGGTCTCCGTCCCTTTCGGAGGGTCCCCATGAAGTTCCGGGGGTCCCCATCCCTCTCGCTGGGGTCCCACGGGCAGAGTGGGAAAGTGCTGGGCGGAGAACCGGGCCCCGGTGCTGATGGAAAGTCGGAGGGAGCGGGGCACAGGAGGGCGGCACGGGAACCCAGGGCCGGGCGCGGGGCTGCACACCCGGAGCTCGGGGCTCTGCGGGATGGAGCAGGGCGGAGGGATCGCACAGAGATCGGCTGCTGCGTTGTAGCGGCGCTGCCGGGAGCGCCGCTGACAATGGATGCGGGTAGAGCAGTGCAGGAGGGGCTGAGATTTAGGGAAAAACTGCCCCTCGTCTCTCCTTATCAGTGACTTCCCGTCTCTGTTACTACGAGGAAATATCTGCAAAAGGCTCAGCGCCCTTCTCTGCCCTATTAAAGCTTTATCATTTTATTCCTCCCCCTAACATTTAAAACCGTATTGCTTTCGGCTGAGTGGCCCTGAACAGACGCAGAGAACAGCGGCGGGGAGTGAGAAGTCATCGCTAGGTCAGGACGGCGACTCGGAGCAGATTTCAGGAATCTTTTGCAATATTGATCACCCCGAGGTAGCCCTTCCCCGCGGCTTCCTCCTCCCCGAGCCCCGACGCGGGGCCGCGCTGGGAGCGGAGCGGGGACGGCAGCAGCGCGGAGCGCGGCTCCGAACGGAGGCACCAAATCACGGGGCCGCGTTCTTTATTCCGCATCTCAGAGGCGATGCCTTCCTCGGAACGTGAGGGGCCACGCTCGGAAAGGCAGCGTCTATTCGGAAATAAGCTCAATATGTTCTTTGCGATTTTTTTTTTTTTTTTCTGGAACACTTGTCAAAGGAGTGCTTCCATGATTTGATATCTTGTTGACTTTCCTCTCTCTTTTTCCTTTCATTTTTTCCCTTTAATTTAATATTTTATTATTATCACTGTGCTGTTTTTCTTTCTCTCCTCCTTTGTCGGTTGCCCGAAATTAAGCAGATTCCCTTTTCCCCCCATCATCCACCTCCCCGCAGAACGGAGCCGCACTGGGCTCGCCTCCTTTCCTTTAGTATCAAGTACAATTTGTCTTTTGCTCGTGAAGATTTGGTAAATCAGAAGGCAGATAGATAGCGCAGATGGTCGGAGGTGTCGGGTCAGATTATGGTACGCCTCAGTACAGTGCTAAGCTCATTCTGACGGAAAACCCTGATATTATTTTCACAGATCTACACAGTTCACTTGAAAAAAACCCTCGGAGCCATTTACATCATTTATGTGAGGCTCACAGCTAGCGGGATGGAGCAGCTTTCAATACTGCTCATTTTCATAGAACCCGACAGAGCCGGGGAGATGGAAAAGCACACGCAGAACTCTCGGGTTCAGAAACGCTCCGCAGAAACTTAAAGAATAAACGAGGGACGCTGCGGCTTCTCTTTGTGGACCAGGGTTGGGTGTACCGACCCTCTCGGGAAAAGGAAGGGAAAAACGGGAGAAAGGGAAAATAACATCTGTAAATATTGCTGAGGTTCAAACACTGATGTTTGTCCCATCCACCCCATCCACTTCCGAGGGAATGGGGAAAAGCTTCAACTGAACGGCTCAGGGAGGGATCTCGCATAGTCCCGTCGGGTGGGATAAAAGCCCCGAAGCTGCTCGGGGTGAGCACGGGGCTTCCTTGGAGCATCCCCGGACGCGGCTGGTGGGAACAGCCCCGAGACGTTCTCAGAGAGGTGAAAGCGGCGATGTTGTGCGGATGGGGAGCACATTCAAATCGGCAATATGATGATTAATAATACACTGCAGCTAAAATTAATTAATTAATTAATTTTTAAGCGTGCGCATGATCTGGTGGGGAAATAACCGGGCTGCAACCTAATGACCGTAGACAGAGCGAGACGGGCTCCTCAATGAAAGCCAGCACTGTAGGCTAAATAAATGAATCCTCATTAGGAACAGCGAGAGCCGCTCGCGGGGCGGGGGGCTGCGCCCCCCAGCTCCCAGCCTTTGTTCCCCACCACGCTGGTTCTGCTGGGGGTGGGAAGAACAGCCAACACCGGGCAGCGCCCAGCAGCCCCTCGTTAACCTCTAAGGGGTGACCGCTGCCGCAGCCCTCGGGCACGGCCGGGTGCCGGCCCCGTCTTGGGAGCCGGGGGTTTCGGAAGCGTTTTGCCACCTTAAATAATAACTACAAGCGTTCCTCGTGCCATTATCAGCCGGCAATGACGGCCACCTTCAGCCGGGCCACGGCTCTGCCCCCCGCTACAGGTAGGGTGCGGAGTTAGCCATTCAGGGATGAACCCACTGGAGAAGAAGGAATAAAATTGCACTTCGAAAAATAAATCGGCAAAAGCACTGCCTGCCGTGAGGGTCGTGCCCTGCGGCCCGGGGCCGGCGGAGCCCTCCAGCATCGGCTCCAGGAGCCCCGCCGGATCCCCGCACCGTCCTCCCCCCGGGATCGTTTATGTAGAAGCAGTTTGGCACGCAGCAGAGGTGCGAATACATTTTTTAAGCCTTTGATTGGCGTTAAGTATTGCATTAACAAATCCCCTCCCGGGAAGGAGAAGCCCCACTTCAGAGGTCTCGATAGGATTGAGGGAGATGTAGAAGTTCATTAAGCGATGCTAAGCGGCGTTGCTTGAGTGCAGGCAGTCCCTGGGGCGGCTACCTGCGGAGCCAGCCGGGATTTGAGGGCTTGGGCTCGGTGCTGATGCTCCGGGAAGCGGGGAGAAGCGGTTCCCCCACGCCGCGGGGGGAGCGGGGATGTTCAGCCCAGGGCTGGGCGGTGTGAGGGGTGCTGCCCTCGGTACCTTTCTAATGCTCGTCTTTATTCCTATTCCTATTCCTATTCCTATTCCTATTCCTATTCCTATTCCTATTCCTATCCCTATCCCTATCCCTATCCCTATCCCTATCCCTATCCCTATCCCTATCCCTATCCTATCCCTATCCCTACCCCTACCCCTATCTCTATCCTTATCCCTACCCCTATCCCTATCCCTATCCCTATCCCTATCCCTATCCCTATCCCTATCCCTATCCCTATCCCTATCCCTGTCCCTATCCCTATCCTTGTCCCCATCCCTATTCCTATCCCTATCCCAACTGCTATGCCCCTGAAACATTGTTCTCCACTCTTTCCTTTTCTTCCCCCAAAAGAGCTGTGCTTAAAGCCGTAATCTGCTCAGTATTAAGCGAGAGAGAGCAGGCTGAGTGCTCGCTTAAAGCACCCATAACCATCAGAAGGAAAGGTCCCTAAAAACAAGGTGTGTGTGTGTGAGGGGGGGGTGCTTGCTGTACGCCTCTGGTTCCCATCGGGGTTTTTTTCTGAAAATTCGAACAAAAGGAAACAAAACGTTCGAATAAAGACGGGAGTTTCTGCTGGCTCTTGTTGTTTTCTCTGTGAAAAGTTCCTCTTTCACACCTTTTTCCCTAAGGAAACGCGAAAAGGCGCTCCCTTCCCGGGGGAGGTGGGAACCGAGAGGTGTCAAAGCAAAACGCATTTTGTGCCTCTGGAAGCGCACAAAACAATCCTTCAGACATTACATATCGTCCCAGGATGGGAACGAGAGCTGCCTCCAAACCGCTTATTGGACGTAACGCGGCAAGCAACGAGGGGAACTGACGCGTTCGGGTGAAAAGCGTCAGGATGGGAAGCCGTGAGGCGGTTCAGCGTCTGAGGTGAAGGCACGGGGCTGGCAGAACAGCGGGCTCCGGGCTGAGCCGGGCGCGGAGCTGCGCTTTCCTTGCGGGAGACGTGGCGGGATTGGTTCTGGAAATGTCCCCAAACTCGTTTCATCGGACATTGAGAGACGTGGGACATCGGTGTGAGGAGAACCCCCGGGGCCGCGCGGCTCTGCCCGCCAGGTGGAGCATCCTCATCGCGTTTCAGCCGCTCCCGAAGCGCCCGGAGTGGCGGTTGCTCTCCCAGCTCCGGCCGCGGGGCTGCTGCGGGGCGAACCGCGCTGAGGGCAGAAGGCGCCGCCCCGCCATTTTCTCGCCTCGCAGTTCGGGGCGCGCGGGCCGCTGTGAGGGAGGCGGGCGAGGAGCCCGAGGAGCTGGGAAGGGCCTTTAGCGAGGCTTCTCCTGGGGTACGTGCCGTATGTCGTCCCTTTTTCCCTTGGGGATGGCGGAGGAGAAGCTGAAGGAGCGAGGCCGTGCCCGCGCCCCGGCGCCCCTCCGCCTGACGGTGGCTGCGGCCCTGGGCGGCTGTCGTGGCTCTTCTCGCCCTTCCCCTTCTGTGAGCGCTTCTAACGGGGCAGGGTCGCCTTGCAGGAGTCGGTGACCCCAGCATGCAGCCCCTCACACACCCTCACGCCGTCAGCGGCCATTTTAAGGCGCTCTGCTGCGGCCCCCGAGGTGCCCAAATGTCATTTATTGATTGATTTATTTCCAGGAATTTAAGGAGTAATCCACAGCGATATATTTTAACTTTCTTCGCCTGACTAAAGAAAGCGTTGCAATCAAGGGGATATTGAACTTTCTGAGGACTTGATGTTGGGTAGTGAAGGCCTCTGCACGCAGTGGTGATGTGCTTTAAACCCAGTTAGAAACAGGGAATTCAGAAGTGAAGAGCCCTACAACACTCAGGTACAGCCTCTAGACTTGTGCATTTGTTACCAATCAGGAGAGGGCTTCGATGTTGTGGCAAGAAGTGACAACAGCAGCAGTTCTCACCTTGGGAGAGTTCACATCTTGTAGCTTAAACAATGGAGAAGAGGGGCAGAGGAATAACAACACAAAGAGAACAACAGAGACGTGTGCCTCGCTTTTAGCAGTGACATGTGAACTCAGCTAAATTTCAGGAACTGGGTAGTCAGTCGGGTGAGAGTCCTTTAGGATAGTGAATATCACAGGAGAGATACAGTTCATCATCAGAAGAGCTTTGCTGGAATTAAAATGGTTTATACAAAGCCAATTGAGAGTTATGACAGAATTTTAAAGAGTAAAGGTCATGTAAATAGAAATAATACACAACCAGTAGTTAGGAAGCTATTTGTAGAGGATGCCCTTGTGGTTTGAGCTCTGAGCAAGTGATTTTAAGCAAAGGATTTTTCTCTTAGTGTATGGGTATTTATCACCTTTTAATGAAGCACCTTGCCAGACTGGATATGAAACCACAGCTGTAAATCTGTAATGAGGAATTGCATTAATGTCAGTGCTGAGATAGCAGGCAGACACACAGCATACAATCAGACAGTTTTTCTGGTTTCTGGACTCAGTGCTGTCCCGTGATTCATTGAGTCCTATACAATTGAGTTTATTAAGGTGGTACAGAAGGGCTAGATGCCTAATGTATATATTTTTTTGTAGAGTTCCAAAAAGCACAGATAGCATCAAGGTGAGAGGGCCACTAGAAATCATCTGTTACTGTTTGAAGCTGTTTTACTCACTGCTGTGTAGTACGTATTTCTCACACATTAGCATTAAAGTACAGAAAAATGTCATGTATTCTTACTGAAGCTGTCAATTTTATTACATCACCTGTTAAAGGTTGTGATCTATAATTTCTTTTTGAAAAGGACCCTAAAAATGCCTTTTTTTTTTTTTTTTCCCTGTAGCAGAAGTTAGAGGATTCTGCTCTGTAGTGCTTCTTTCGGATCAGAAAAATAACAGCCCCACGTGAGAACATTTGAATTTGTCATCCCAGGTTGGCAAATGGTTTAATGCTACTTTTCTCCAGTAAAACCAAGAATCAGTCTTTAGTACAGCCATACCCCAAACATCTTTTGTTTCAGGCTGTTTTAAAATCTACAGTCACCTAACAGACCACCAGTGCAGTGAAATTTCAGCCCTTTCTACCAGCAACACATGGCCTCTGAGTTTACAAACAGAAATTTGTTATCTGCAGTTTTGTTACTTAATTAAAACAATATCTAGAACAGCAAATATTTTTATGTATACATGCTTGCAGAAGCATTATCATTTTATGCAATTTTACTCTTTAAACAAACTGTAAAAAATACACAAGAAAACAACTCTATCTTCAGTTCAGTTTTTCTTTGTTTTAAAATTAGTATTCACAGAACAAAATTAATCATAACTATTTTAAAGGAGTAAATGATATATATCATCTTAATAATAAGATGTTGTGATTTATACAACAATGAGGAGAAATTATATGCTGTTATGTGTTCAAAGTAGTGTTTGTACTCTTTTTCACCATTGTTGTACCTAATTTGTATGCCCCATTTTCTTGCAGTTTTTATAAGAACTGTCAAGGAAACAGCTAACAAGCACTGTTAACTGTTTCTAGAGAAAGAGTAAACAAACACAAGTGTTTTCCACCTGATGCTTTGCTGTTTGACTCCCATTTAGTTACAATACAGATTTCCAGAAATTCATGTGCCTCCCTTGGATAGTTAGCTACCATAGTTAGCTGTCAGCTTAACTCCGCTTTAGGGTCAGATGGACATCATTCAGCAGTGAGATGGTTTCATCTTGCATCCTGCATACTAGTCAGATCTTCAATATATGCTCCCAACTAATTTTTAGTTCTTAATATATTACTTACTATTTTATTTTATTTGTTGCAAAAACAGAAGTGTTTTGCTTTGGCTTGAATTACTTCTGACATTTTCTCTCAATATTTTCCTAAAAATGTTGCTTGCTGTTTCCAGGCACCAGTAACTAGGGTGCCAGTCTTGTATATATGTTTGGTAAAACTGTTCTCTCTTTCTTGGAGCTTTTATCACTGCCTGTTCTAATCTGGTGTCTTGGATTAGTAGCCCTGATCCTCACATAAGTATTAGGCAAATTCATTTCTGTCAAACATCCAGCATTTTAAATGCTCCCCTCTCTTCCCTCCCTGCTGTTTTCACAGTCTCAGTGCTACACTGTGCAATCTTAATGCCACTTTAGTCCAATTCTGAAGTTGTTTTCTATTCCACTTTATCCTGGATTAGGATCTCATCCCCATTGCCAATTGGTTGTGGCTTTACTTTTTACACACAGCCAAGGGAAGTGTTCATTCACCCATGGCAAGGCTGTTGTGGGACAGTCATGATTCAGCGTGTCTGAGCTAACTGCCCATGTTCAGGTTGTTCTGATTAGGTACCGATTGCATCCTTTTAGGAAGGCGACATGACTGCAGGCTGTTTAAAAAAACAGAACTGAGTTTCTGCACGTAGCAGCACCCTACAAACAGAAGAATCAATTTGCAATAATCTGCTTTCCGTTGCATTTCAGTTCTGTCTTTAATCCCACTTATGCACATACTTTCTGATTCAAATGTACTTTGCAATTATTTCTGGAGGACTGTACAGAATGGATAAGAAGCTTTTCCATTACCATCACTGCAGTTGATAGGCTTAGTAAGCCAGCTGGAGTAGAGGCTGCACTTTTTGTACACGAGCGTTTCTTACTGCGTTCTTCCCACCTTCTAAGAATGCTAAACCTCTCCAAGATAGAACTTCTCCAGAAACATTTATGTAAGCTGTACACTTCCTTTTTCCCCAACTGTGGCTTAGATCTCCAGTAAATCCATTTCTGCAATGGTGAAAAATTTGTTTCCATTAAAATGGAACTTTGACTTGTTTATTGTTTCAATAAAGCTTTGGATTGTTTTTGTAAATCTGTAAACTGCACTTTTCTCCCCAGGTTTACACAATGAGTGACAGACTCGTAAGCAACTTGGATAAACTCCTGCTTGAGTTTGGTAGGTCATTATATTGTATATTTTTAAAGTGAAAATTACCAGGGCACTGCATAAAGTGGTATTTTAACTTTATGCAGTTAGATTAACATTAAATAAACATTTAAATATTAAGGTTTTGATGATCACCTCCTAATGATGACGTTATGGAGCAGGGTTCTACAAATTACTTAATAGCAAAATTGCTTGTCTGAAGGGATACTTTTAGATGTCTCGTTAAAATCTTTGCTAATTGATGTTTGTGCAATTAATGCTGCACAATATTTGTTTAACAGTTCATTGTAGATAAATGTGTTTATTTTTCTTTTCAGTTTTCCAGCTAAAACAAACTTCTTATGCAAAGGAACATGTAAATCAACAGATAAATTGTGAGTAGTGATAAGTTATCATTTTATTAGCTGTTGAATACTCTGTTTCATTAGTCCTGATACATGTCTGAGTTTCAGAGACGGAAGCAAGCTTAATAATGAAAGCTGCCCAGTGTCCTGCTCTCACCCTATCTCATCTTTTGCCATCAATACTTGCTCATTCTCCCTAGCAGACTTTGCTTTTGCCTTCGACTTTTAGCTAATGCTGCTCAGCTGTCTCATGGACAGCCAGTTTCATGCTGCGCCATTTCCTGCTCTTACTCTGTAGCTCCTCACAGTTGCTGGCAGTTCTTTGGTTCAGCTGTGCTTGCTCAATACATCTGCCACTTATCTGCCCTTCTCTCTTCATGTTTTTTGTTCTTCCCAAATTTGGACCTCTGCCTCACTGCTTCTTCTCTCTTTCTGTCTTCCTACAATAATGAAAGTTCTCTTAGTTGCTGCAACCTACTCAAGCCTGGTTCTTCTTTTCTGTGGTCAAGCAGCTGGTAATTTTATTTGAAATCCCTAACAGTAACGCCAATGGGAAAGCCTTCCTCCACATGAAATTCTTTCTTCCTAGGACTAACAGTATAATATTATGGACTTAGATCTTGGCTGATTTATTTATATTTAACTATCCTGCCAGTTGTATCACTCAGTTACAGGAATGGATATAGAGAAACAATTCTTTAGACAACCTAAAGAAATCCGTGCTCGTCTCTGGTACCTCATAGGTAGAAGCTGAAGTTCAAGTCCTTGAGGAATAAGAGAGTGTTCTGGATCGTATTGATGGCAGTATTTCTAATGATCTTAAGTGATATGTCCAAGAAAGTACTTACATACTGAGAGGGTTATCAATATTAGATTGAAGTATTTTGAACATTAAAGCATCTATTAAACAAAATCTGGTACCCATAGAGTTCTGTAATAATTCTTTGGTCTCAGTCTGTAAATTTAGAGCTATTTGTGGCTTAAAATTTGTTCGAGCTTACTGCAAATGAGCATGTTTTAGGTGAAATCCAAAAGTTGTGTGGTAACATACTACAGTTGTTTGAGTGTTCAGTTGAAAGTGTGCATGAACTCAAAAGAAACACTTAGACTTTAGGTATTCAAGTATTAAGACTTTGTATATACTCTCCATTACTCAAGATATTAAAATACATTGGGATTCTGTTGTTTTTTGCTGGCTGATGTTTATCTCTGACAGGTGCACTTCTCCTGTATCAGCCCAGATGGAATTGCAAGTGAATATGTAGCAAATACTGCAAAAACAGGCCCAAAGTTTAGGATGATCTAAAGCTATAGAGCAGTAATTCACACAACTCAAGATAAATCTCAACTAAGATGGCCTCCTTAAACAGATGTGAAGAGGCAGGATGTCTGTGATGGAGTGACTTCAGTTTAGTGGCACCATCTTTGCTGTCAGGGCAGCAGTGATGGCAAGGGAGATTTGGCACAAGTAGTTCTGAACCTCTGTAGGAAAGAAAAAGAAATAAAAAGCAAAGGAAAAAAAAAAAAACAACAAAAAACATGCACTTAGTTCTGCTCATCACATTGCAATGTGAATATGCATGGTAGCTCTCACAGCTTGTACTTGTGAAACAGAATGCTGGTAACATCCATGTTTTTGGGGATTTGTCATTACAATAGATGCTCCTCATTAATTGGCATCTATTTCCTACTAATTATATTAATCCATCATACATTACAGTTCTCCAACTTGTGTAAATTCATTTTTTATTTGTATTTATTTGCTCCCGATTCCAGCAATCATTTGTGTATATGCTGTTAGAGATGTTTTTAGTTTTCCTTTCTTGAAGTTAGCTTTCCCATTCAAAAAAATTCTTATTTCTGGACTTCTGTAAAAGAAAAGGTATTTAAAGAGACTTTTATCTCAAGCAACTCTTTGCTCCGATCAGTCTCCCAGTTGCAAGCATTACCAAAAGAAAAGTGGCTCACACTGTTTTCCTGCATACTACCTCTAGTGTCTGCAGACACTTGTCCTTCTGTGAACTTCGGAGAAAAGAGTTGGCATTAACTATTTATAAGCATTTTAATTTCTACCACTATTAATAGCTTCAGTTTTACTCAGACTGGGATGCAGAAACAGCACTGATGTTTTCTTCCAAAGCCAATTTCATAATATTAAGTAAAAATCAGTGTTCTCACCACACAGCTCTTTTTTTTTTTTTCATTCACTTTGTTGTTGCTTTGCTTAACTGCAGGCTGTTTGCTCATCTGCTACTACTGTGACCAAGCACTTAGGAAGAAATTTTGACTCTCTGAATGTAGACTTTTTATTTCATGGATATGTTGCAAACACTTAAACATATTTTTACATTTTCAGTGTATTCTTCAAAAATCACAGAAAAAAGGAATGAAATTGCTAGATTGCAGGAAAATATAAATAACTGCAATGATGCAATTGCTGATTTACGCAAGCAAAATGAGAACAGTAAGGACAGCTGTAATGCGTAAGTATAATGTGAGCTGAACTTTTAGTTAGAGCTGGCATTCAGAAAGTCAAGTACTTTCTAAATAGCATAAGAATATAAGAAAAAAGAAGTAGCATAAGAATATAAGAATATAACCATAGAATCACAGAATGGCTTGGATTGGAAGGGACTGTAAGGATCATGAAGCTCCAACTCCCCTGCCACATGCAGGGCCACCAACCTCCACATTTAATACCAGCCCAGGCTGCCCAGGGCCCCATTCAGCCTGGCCTTGAACACCTCCAGGGATGGACAGGGCATCCACAATCTCTCTAGGCAGCTGTTCCAGCACCTCACTACTCTCAGAGTAAAGAAGTTAGCAGATCCTGTCCTTTCTGTTTTCTTGCAAATCTATACCTGAAGATAAGTGCTTGAATATAAATGTCCATTGCATGTATTTGAAAAAAAATTATAGAAGGTTTCTAAGAATGAAAAAAGAAGTGAAAGTTACACCAGAGTTTCCTAGGTTTCAAAGTAGCTGCAAAGAGAAGAAGGAAAGGAATCATAAGTGAATGGAGGTTTAGTTGGCAGCTGATTGAATTGATTGCCAGACTGTAATGATTTGTAGCGTTGTTATAATAAGTTAGGAAAAGATTTGAACTTGAGAATAAAATTTCAGTTTATTTATACACTATTTTTTTGCCTCCAGTGCAATATAAAATGAACACTTTTGTAAATTACTTGAAACCATTCCATACTGATTCCTTTTTTTTTTTTTTTAAAGTTGTAAATCAGCTATTATATAATGCAAACAAGGAAATAGGAAATTAAGGGTAAACTAAAGATCTGACCAAATTTTGAACCACTAAATTCAAAGGGCATTGGCTGAGGTCCTAAAAAGAACAATCAGTGGCATTAATGTAAAGAGACTGAAAATAAGAAATGACTCATGAAGGGATATGGATATTCATAGAGACTGTGCTTGCAGAAGGATGAGATTTTGTCTTAAATTATTGAAAATATCACCTACCAACGTACTGAAAACTGTTCTAAACAAGTCCTAGCTGTGAGATCAGACAAAGAAAGTACTGGAATCATCTTAAACTTCTAATATTTATCCTAGTTGATACTCCTGATACTCTGGACAAGTTTCTAACATTGGTCTTGTAAATTTAGATTTTGTATTTGACTGGCAATCATCCTCACAGTTGATTGATTCAGAGATGAGTATCATTACATTTAGTTGCCAGAACAGTCAATAGAGCTCTCAAAGAAACTGCTTGTTGTCTGGATTACTAGACGTCATATTGAGGCACAAAGACTTTGAACAAAATACTGCATTCTTACATGCAACAAGTCTACCGAAAATACAATACGTGAGATGTGGATCAGGATACTACTGTGATTTCTAAAAAATCCATAGTAGTCTATTTAACAAAGAACTGAAGAATACAATGACAAAAGAGAAATACATATTCTTAGAAACATAATGACATTTTTCTAATATTTAGTTGCTTGAATGATTCAGGCATGAAGTGTTGATCCAAGAACAAGAAGTGGTGAAATACCGTTGATGAGACCATTTCAAATGTTATCGTTCCTTTTACAGTGCTTTAATTTGTGTTCATGATGGTGGAATGGATGGAAATATAAAAGAAAGCCAGATGAACACAGAATGTTTCTAATTTAGGAAATGAACTGTTGTCTTGTCCAGCTGGCTAAACCACAGGAAATTTTTAGTGCTTTCAGATAAGTGTGGATAGAGATTTTTCTATACCATTGCTGATAAAAGGAGGAACAAACAAATACAATAGTTATCAAGAGCTTCAATGAAGTGGTGCACTTAGCAATCTAGTAGATCAACTACTTGGATCCTTCATGCCTTGATCTGTTGCAAAGCTTTATTCTTATACTCTGTGTTCTCCACATGCCTGCAGAACAAGTGTGAATACAAAATGTAACGTGCATTTGGCTTGTAAAAGAGGGTAGAACCTTCTGATCCCAGGCTCTGGCTCTGGGCAGCCTGGTCTGGTGGTTGGCAACCCTGCACATAGCAGAGGGGTTGAAACTAGATGATCACTGTGGTCCTTTTCAACCTGGGCCATTCTATGATTCTATGAGTCTATGATTGTTCTTTGGTTAATATAAGTTCGAGGACTTTTTCATTGCTCTTTTTTTTTTCCTCCAAAGAAAGACATGGGGTTTTCTGGAAGGAGATCACAATGTTTGTGTGCCTGTGCACCTACACACGTACTGTTAGTTTTTGCCTTTTAAAAATCTAAGCCCTTAAAACTGGCTTTCTGTTAAATGTTCAGTAGGTGTGGTGAAGAAGCATTTCTTAATTACATTTGTAATGATTAATGGTGCTAGCCAGTCTGTGCCAAATAATGCTAAATATCCTGAACCAATGCTGTACTTCCTCGGTGAACTTTTTTTTCAATGACAAATTTTAATGCTGTTAAAAATGTTTATTATACATGTGTTCTATCACCTGGAGTACACTGCTTTTTTGCTCAAGGTTATTGGACTTTAGCAAATTAATTGTCAGATTTTTGGTCTATATTTTTTTTCCATAATGGAAACAGCTGTTACTGCAGCCTCTGTTTTACACCACCTTTGCAGTGCTTGTCCAGATACACATCCATACTTTCTGTGATTGCATGCTACACACACTCCAGTTTTGAACCATAGGGCATACTCACCAAATGCCCTCCACATGCTCAACTCATGAATATACAGTGTAAAATGGACAATATGTTCTTGGTTACTCTTACCATTGCAGTAGAAAATTGTTTCTTTCCTCAGCTGTGACCTTATTCTGCATTTCTTCATTGATAATTTCCATCTCTTTAAATGTAACTTTTTTTTTTGTTGTTAACCTGTTCCAAATCCATGTGGGGCTTCAGGTGCTTCCAGGTTTTCTTCTTCTTCTGCCTCTTTGGTGCTTGATGGGATCTGTGCAAGTGCTCCTGAAGTTGGGATTTGTTTGCATGTCTCCTAGGTCTGATAGTTCCAGCCAAACTTCATTCATTAGAGGTGTTTACGTTGCCCTAGAGTAGCAGTATTCTGGATGAAGCCATAGAGGCAAAAAAGAACACATCTTGCCAGCAATTCAGTTCAGTTCAGTTCTCAACTGCAATTAACTTATTTTTAACTACTTAGCTGGAGCTTTTTACACTAGAAAAATACGTTTGACTTTCAGCACATTAAGTGACTTGCTCTGGTTAGCTAGCTAAAGTAAGTTATGTCTTCTTTTTTAATTGCCTTTTTGTTAGGAAGGACCATTTACATACTTCTTTTTTTGTACTTTGCAGCTGGAAGCCCACATATGCAATTCTTAGCAAGCATGAAGAATATTTGAAGAATGAACTTGAAGTTTTACAAGAAACTACAGAAAATGAGAGGTATCAGTGATCTGGTGAGATAAGATTTCTAGAAGCAGTGCTTATTGAAGGCAGTGCTGTCTAAATTGATCAGCAAAGTTATGCAGTCTGCATCAAAAAGCTTGGGTAAACATTTCAGTGTAATGAAAGAATATTCACTTTCCATTATTAGGAGTTCACCTGTGACTTTGTAGATACTAGTGAACTACTATAAAATATAGCTTTTTCAGATAACTTCCCAAATTCCTATTACAATTTTCAGAACACTGTTTAATTGCCCACAGTTTCAAGAGAAGCCCTCTTTGGATAATAATAAGGTAATCAGTGTTTTAGCTTTGACAGAAATACAAAATATCAGAGCATATTTGCAGAAACATATTCTATTTCCAGATGTTTTTTTTTTAACCATTATCATGACATGCCTTCACACATGCTGTAATTTCAGTAGTTTCAGACATTCAGGTTTGGAAGACTTTTTGGAAAATACTGAGGTTCTATGTTTTCTAGAAGCATCACATAAATGAACTTGAGCCTTTACTTTCACATATGCACAAAATAAGATAACAAATGCATCCAAATAATTTGTTTTGCTTTATTTGTGAATAATTCTTCAAAATAATTACAAAGCATTCAAGTTCAGTATTAGATCATGAAAAACAGGGCGAGTGGGATGTATCTGCTAGCATTGAGTGGGATGAAGAACAGACCCTGAAAACTTTCACTTAAATTTTCGAAGTGGAATGCGACAAATTAATGCTGTGAAATATTATTTAGCATTCAGGAAAAAAAAAAGTCTTTATTTTAGAGAGGTTGCTCACTGCTCACCTTTACTGATCTGCTTGGGAAGAGGAAGAGATTGGTTAGCTGTGTGTTAAGAAAATCATGGCAGATCCATCTAGACATCTAGGTAGCATGTAGGGGTGTTACTGTACGCAACTGCAATTTCAAATGTTGGCTGTGTTTTTATGATAGTATTCTTCTTGCAAGTAGTTCAAGACAGCAGAAGTAGAATGCCTGACAGCCTTTAATTAACTCTGTTAGTAGCTTATCTGTCTTCCTCTTTAGAGCTCTGTATTTGGTGAAAAATAGAGCTAAATTGGCTTTCTGTGAGTATATGAGCCATTTTGGCCTTCACTAATTTGAGCTGACAAGCCAAAGAAGCATTACTTTTAAATTGCTTCTTTAGATAACTAGTTTCAATTCCAACATGAAAGTGTTTGCTTTTTTTTTTTTTTTTTTTTTTTTTTTCCTTCTGAGCTTTTAATTGTAAAACATCATGACTATGAGCCATGGAATAAATTTAATTCATGTATTCTATGAAAGTTGTCTTGAGAGAGTTCTCTCAAATACAGTCCCTCTGTACTGAAGCATTTGCTGCTATACTGAAATCAGCAAGGCGTGCATTCAACAAATTCTAAATAGATAAATTAGGAAGAAAAATAAGTGCATTTAAAACATTATGTGCTGAATGCCCTTCTTAGGCTGGCGTTTGTGGGCATTCAGGACATGCTGCTTTACATGCAAAGATGTTTTTAAAAGATGACTTTAATGTGAACAGTACTGAATTCTAAACAGCTGATGTTCAACTATGTGAATGGAAGGATGTGAATTATTTAGGAAAAATACTGAAAATAGAGTCAATTCTTCAAGACTTCTATGCTATATTCTACATGGCCATAAATATGTATCTGTGGAAAACAAGTTGTGGGGAAAAAGTGTGTTTAAAGTTTGAGGATGACATTCAGAAATCTGAAATGTACCACTGGCAATTATTTACTTTGATTTATATTTTTAAAATTTATTTGTAACGCATTCTTAATTTTATGTCAGCAAATGTCACTGTTGCTTAGCTATTGTTTGTAGAATCTATTAAATTAAATGGAAGTACGTATTTTCCATCTTTCATACCTTGATAGTATACACAAATGTTTAGGAAATCCAATAAATTCATGGATTCCCAAGACTGTCCATGAAGAAAACCATGAAAAAAATAAGTAGACTAATGTCCTTTTCTACATAAAGTTTGGGAATTTCTTGATTTCACAACCTTGAATCATAGCAGTGTTAATCTACAACTTCTTTCCCCTGCATATGTGTGCTGAACTTCAGTCAGTTTAATGGGAGCCAGTGCCTGAAGCATCATTTTATTTGAAAAATGAGATCTAATTTTCTGCTATGACATTAAAAAAATGACATTTCTTTTGCAAGAGAAGAAGTTTCTGCAATTATGTATGGACAGAAATGTCTCTTGTGTTGCCCAGTCTAACCAGCCAGCAGCCAGAAGTGTCTGTTTTTCAGTCAATCAGTAATAGCAGTTCAACATACAGTTATTCTTTAAAGAGGAACACTGTGATTTGGATACAGTGAGAGCTGTTCCTTTTGCAGGCAAATAGGTGTGTCTGTGCCTTTAGTTGCTATTATGCATAACAATTTGTTTCATAGAGGAACTTCTGATTAATCTGCAGTGTACTGATAACTGTAATACTTTCACATGTGCTTCTACTATTAAGCTTTTGCTCTCAAATGCAGAGGGAAGTATACCAGGCCTTGGTTGTTGTTATTGATAATTTTAAAAACTGTTAATTATTAACTCTTACTGTCCTGTGTGTGACATTAACAATTAGAACCAGTTCCTTTGTTAATTAATTAGTGTTGTTAATCACAGTGCTTTCCCTACTGATACTACCTTTGCATTGGAAATGACCTGTAATGCACGTTAGACTTAGCAGCACTACTGGAGTAATAAGAAATGCTTCCCTGTCACACAGTTGAATATTTGATCTGTTGTTTGCAAGCTATCCTGCAAATTCCTTGTCTAAATGAGGAAACAGACCAAAGAACCTTATCCACTGTCATTGATTTAGCACAAAACAATTTCTGTTCTGTGCAATAGTACTTCTTTTTCTCTTTTTTCCAAAGATAATATTGATCAATTTTCAGCTTTATGTAATGAATTACATCTAATTGCTTCTTATGGCATTTGTTTTAATAACAGTATTTCAAAAGGTCATTTAAACTTTAACAATGTCATGAAGATTTATTTAATGGGACCTCTTAATTGATGCTACCAGCTTTAATAATTTGTAGCTATGTTCTCACGCAATGTCAGTGAAATTATATCAGTGTGAGATTAATGTAGAGGGCAGTCTTACAAGAAGCTGAGTATTCTGGCTCTTTTCCAGTTAAGCATTTAAGTGTTTGCTTAATCTTAAGTTTGGTTGTCTTGTTATTTCAGTGTGACTGTTGTGTTTGTGTAAGGCTTCCCTGAATCAGATTGCTCAGCATTTCTTACTTCAGCACTGCATCAGGCTGTTCTAAATCATAGAATCATAGAATGGCTTGGGTTGGAAGGGACCTCAAGGATCATCAAGCTCCAACTCCCCTGCCACAGGCAGTGCTACCAACCTCCACATTTGATACTAGATATATTTATAAATACTATATATATATAAATACTGTGTGCTAGGCCAAATGATCCTTTACTGTAAATTTGATACAGCTCCACTGATACAGGTGGAGTTGTGCCAATAAGCACAAGCAGACAATTTGGCTTGCTGTGAGTTTCATGATAATTAAACAAGGAAGAAACATTTGTCATCTGTCAAGCTACCTTTCATTGTGGTATGGTCTAGATTCCTTTCAGAATAATGGCTGTTACATCATGAATGTATTCTTTGCTATGTACAGCACAATTTTCCATGAAAATAGATGGAAGAAAACAAAATGAAGACAAATAGAGACATACTAAAAAAGTAATCTGACCTCTTCCAGAATAACAGCAAGTCTAATTGAGATGATTCCATTAAGTAATAGCTTTTCCTTGTAAATGTTATCTACATTATATATTTTATAGGAAAATGTATCAAGATTACATAATCCAGTATAAAGAGACTCTGAAGCAACACCGTGACAAATATGCAGAAACTGCCCTTGCACAGAAATATTATAAAAAAAAGAAAGAGCTTGAGGAAATCCAGAACAGAATTCAGAAACGGTCTGAACAATATAAGTTGAAAGAAGATGCTGACTTGGACATTCTTGGTACTATTATTATCAATGCTTATGAAGTAGAGCCTGTTGGTAGTGGACTGCATGTTACAGCACTGTACAGAAATCCACTTATTGATTTATCAAAGTTTCTCTTAAGCTGATAAAAAATCTTCATTTTTGTTGTACCACTTTTAGGAAAAAAACCTGTAGCAAACTGAGATTTGGAAGAAGAATTTAGTTAGAGTGTACATACTAATGTTCTTTCCACCATCCTGTGAGTGTAATGGGGAGAGGTTGGCCAGTGGGCTTCTTATAGTAAAAAAATCAACCCAATATTAGTTGAAATTAGCTTCTCAAACCTTTATTTACTTGCTTATTTATTTATTGTGCTATTTTAAATGTTATTACTTTCTGTATTACTGCTATTTCTTTTATGAGCACTACACAATGATAAGTGTTCCTGAAACATCAATTTAAACTGTATTTGTAGACAAAATGAGACTTGTTAATGTTCTGAAACAAAATCTTATTTTTACAGAGCCTGCTCCTTTCAAATCCATTAATGACTGGGCTTTATATATGTATCCTTGAAGTGTAACATTAATACAGTTTACAGGAAGGAAAGTTTATATTTACTTTCACAGCTTTTTATTTAAAAACATAATAATTATGTTTAGAGTGGCAGCACAGCCATTTCCCCATGGGATAATTGTAGGTCAAATAATAATTTTCAGTTAACACTTACTGGAATATTTTGAAGAAGATAATTGTATTTCACCTAATGACCCATCAGTCAAAAAGCTGCATTAAAGAGAAGACTGAAGTTGGATTTGGAGACTTAAAGACATGTGGAATAGTCAGGACTTTCTGTAACTCTGGAACTTGCACTTACAGCATAGAACTGTGAGGGATGTGATTATATCCTCTTCTTTAATAAAATCATGTTGCCATGTATTTCCTTAACTTGAAAGTGCTTCTTTGAGGCAAAAAACACAGGAAATGTTAAAGCTTGCTGAAACTGCTACACAAGAGTCAACTGAACTAGAAAAAGAAGCAGACGAATTAGAAATGAAAATTAATTATTTAAAAAAAGTAAGTGTGTTTTATATATATGTAGGTATTTATACAATTAATTTGCTGAAACAGAATAGCAGTGTATTTTCAAGAACATGAACCAACAGGATGATACTAGAATTAATAATTATTCATTTCTATAATATTACCAGTGTTACCTATGCTTTCTTATGCCCATGAATGCTAAGACTCTCAAGCTTGCTTTCTGTTGACCTCTGTTTACACCATAATTTCCTCATCTCAGTATGTCATGATGACTTCTATGCTAGCTCAACAGAGTCAGAGCACAGTAGTGGACTCATTAGAGTTGGGTTGATGGTTGTATTTGATGATATTAAGGATCTTTTCCAAGCTCAGTAATTCTGCAATTCTATAACCTGGATGTATGTGCCTGTCTGGACCAGCTGATTATTACTGCTCTGTCAGCTACGTTCACTTCAACCAGCCTTATGTTGATTGAAGCACAGTGTGCACAGGTGGTGGGTTTTTTTTTGGTCTATATTTTGTGGTATTGTTTGACATTAGCCTGAAGTTCATAATGAACCTTGCTCTGCTTATTTCTTTAGATCATTTTGGCTACAAAAAAATTCTGCTTGCACTGATTCATCAGGTTTAGAAGCCCTTTGCAGCATGTAGCTGTATCGTTTTCACATTTTCTTATTAAATTGTGATGTTTATTTATTCTTTTTCTTCTAAGACATTTGAAGAGACCCCAGAAGATCAAAGTAATTCAGAAGTGATTGAAGGAAAAAATCTGAAAAGTCTAGAGAAACCAAAGGAATTTAAAGAAAGGTGTGGTTAAAAATTATTTCCTTCCCTTTGCTTTCATCCAGAATACCATCTCAATATTCACACAAAGGTGGCAACAAAACACAAATTGTAGCTGTATAGTGACTAGCAAGCTTTTCCAACCCAAGACATATGATTCAATTACATAACTTTAAAAGAATCTTATTTCTTGGTGTTCAGTGATGGCAAATTTATATTGCTGGAAAATAAGTGTTACCTGGAAATAACTATTCAAAAGTGTATTTTGTGTAAAACTTTGCTCCTCACAGCTTCTGCTAATGGATCTGTGTGGATAGTTTTATGGCTTTTAATTACAGTTACAGTGACTGTGCAGTGAAATACATTAACTATACTGAAAAAGTATTTGGTGAAAAGATCAGGGTTACAAATGTCATTGCCTTCAGCTCTGAACTACTCTTAGAAATTTAACACTTAATTTGGTTCTTAAAAACAAGTGTGAGTGAAAGTTTCATTGACAGGATTAATGGCTTAGTAAATTAGTCAGTGGTCATTTACAACTGGGACTCGCTTTAATTTGAGCTCAATTACAGTGACTGAAGTCACCATCAGGACCATCTTACACTCATCTGGATTTCTTGTGAGTAGTAAGACATGAAACTTAAAACTGACTCTGTTGGACAAAAATCCAAAAGACTTAATCCGAATGATTTTATGTCATGGTGTGCTTGATAAGGGTGCTCTCCAGAGCTTTCAGCTGGGATTTAGTGGACTATATGTACAGAAAGGTGTCCTTTTAACTGCCTCCTTCCCCCAGGAATACTTTATGTTTTTAATATCTTCTTTTTGAACCCTGTATTATTCAAATGATTATTTTTTTATGGTTTAAGGTCTTACACCAGTTCTGCCTTCTTATCTAAGTTTGGTATAATTGGCAAGATCTCAAACAAGGGGAAACAAGAAATCCATGTAGTTGTAAGACTGGGTGAAGAAGATTGGAAATGAATTCGCTGTGTTTTGGGCACAGAGGTGCAAGAAGTACTCAGTGAAACCACTTTTAGAAAGGAATTCAGAGGGTATCTTGCTGGACTTGCCACTTATATGGTTACCTCTTTCATGAAGTTTTCAGGTGCTTGAACCTTCACCAGAGATTGTGTCTTGATTGTGCACAAGTAGATATTTTTGATGCTCTACTCAAGTTCCATGGCTTATGTCATGGTCATGAGTTGCTGTAAACATTTTGCACTATTCTAACACATTTCTCTTTAACCTCCATGTATGTATTCATGTGATACAGCACATAATACCAGACCACAACCTGATTACTAATTAATATTGCTTTTCTAGAGTAAATTTTAAAGCATATTCTTGCCAAAGTTATGTAAAACAGAAAGGCTTTTGAAAAATGGTGTAGAAGTTGTATTAAAACATCCCTATTGAGTGTATTAAAAGAGAAAGGAAGCACAGAAATATCTGAGTAACTACTGATGGTAAAAATTGGAATATAATATAATCTGTGATTGTGATCACTGTGGAAAGAAACAGAAAATGTACTAAGACAATGATTCATATGAATTAAAACCTTTGTAGACTCAAGGCAATAGAGAAAAATATAACAGGAGAATAAGGGTACCTAAGGCAGGAGCTGTTTTGCAGTCACTACAGGATGATTCCTGAGCAAAGAGATCTTTGTAAAGAAACAGGAGAAATCTTCATCTTCTGCCACAAAAGAACAAAAAAAGAGTTATATTGTGAATGTCCATAAACTGACTGCAGAACAGCATGGAACCAGCAAATGTCAAACAGAACAATGAAAGCACTGAGCAGAATAATGTACAAATTAATAGCCATGGAATACCTTAGAGGGCTACAGGACAAGAAACCAACATGAAAGTTAACTGATAGCTGCTGGTATATATGTTCTTTGGGCAGGAGGATGACAGTGGTAATCATTTTGTCAAAAAGATTGGAACAGCTGCAAAACACATTAGTCTTCTGATGCAACCTATTTTCTTTGAGTAGTGGACCCCACTTATATTCAGCAAGTATTATAGTTGAAATTTCCATACCAAAAGTTCTCATCAGTGACCAAACAGGAACACCAAGTAATAGTGTACATCTGGTCAAATTTTAAAGTGATTTGGACTGCTCTTGTGTCTTGAACTTTTTTGAAGCCCTGGATTGTGTTTCTTGATTAAAGATGGTATTTATTACACAGAAATCTTGAACACTGCTTTGATATGTATCATCTTCATACCCTATGCTTTTCTAGAATGTTTAGGAGAGATCAAATTCCTTTATTCTGTAATCCTGGTTGTTTTTTTTTTCCTTCATTTTGATTATGCATTAATTCCATCTCTGAATACCAAAAATACCCTGTGTTCCAAATGAGGGGCTTTTGCTAAAACTTCTAGAGGATATTCTGTAGAGCACGATTTCAGTCCTTTCTGTGCCTTTGCATTCCAAGTGATAAGACTTCAGTGATCAAATAAAAGACTTTGCAGTAGAATTCTTGGGAAAATATTGTAAATCTGCTTCTGGACTTCTAAGTATAAACATCAGTGAAGAATCACAGAATCATATAATCAGAAAGGCTGGAAAAGACCACAAGGTCATCCAGTCCAACCATCCACTTACCAGCAATAGTTCTCACTAAACCAAGTCCCTCAACACAATGTCTAAACATTCCTTGAACACCTCCAGCTTTGGTGACTCCCTGGGCAGCCCATTGCAATGTCTGGCCACTCTGTTGGAAAAGAGTCAACTCTGTACTGACCACAACCACAGCTACTGCTAAGGAAATGAAATTTTATTTTGACTTAAGAATATATTTTTTTGCACTTTAATAAAAACTGAAAATATTACATGTTTTGCAACATGGATCAAGATAAAGATCTTTTATCTACTCAGATGTCTACAGTGAAAAAGGAAGACAAATGATCTTTCTTGTTACTGCAGTTCAGACTATTTTGACTGTCAATCTGCAGTTTGATTTTTTTCCCAGTAGTTATTAATGTCAGATAAGATACCTTTTATTTTTTTTTTTAATATTTTTTTGGGGGAAGGGAAGGAAGCAGATATATTGTGTGTTTATGAAGTTTAACTGCAGTTCCTTCTGGAAGTTTTTGTTACTTAAAAAATCAATATCTCAAGAGTTTCTGACTCCAGTTTGCAACTCTACCATCAATCCATCCTTCTGAATAGATATGTATTGTAAAATAATGGTTTATTTCCTGTCTGGCAGTTTTTTAGAAATACAGGGAGTTATCTGCTAGATTTTACGAAAGCACACAGAAACTGACTCCAGGAACTTTTAAAAAAACAATTTGGTATCTGAAGTAAGTTCAGTAAAAAAATTGGTTACTGGCAATCTAAATCATGACCATCAGCAGCAGCCTTGTTCAATTCATTTCATTTTTGAATGACTGTGATAAAATGGCCAGATAAGCCGTTCTGAACAAGGAAAAGCCATTTCAGCCTGGGTTCTGTGCTTAGCTCTGCTTTAACTAATCCTAAAATTCTCTACATCTGATCTTAAAGATACTCAGTCATATAAACATCTTATTTATTGTAGTATGCATTCTTTATACAAGTAATGTTTGCAGGTGCTGTAAATGAAAGATAAAGATGCTTTTAAATCATTTCTGATATATATATTTTTTGTCATAGTAGGTGGTCCATAGTTTCCATAGTTTGTTAGATGCAGTATCTTAATCAGTGCTTCTGGTTTGGTATGCTTTAGCCAGTAGCATTGCTTATTTTACTCCATGATACCTTACAAAGTTCATCTTACATTTTACCTTATTTGTGAAAAGTATCAAGAAAATTGGAGCACAGAAGTGCCAAGCAAGAATGTCAGGGAGGAAATAAAATAAAAACCATTATAAAAAAAAGGGGGGGGTAATTGATTCTGTGTCTGTTTCCACTCCCTATAGACTTTTTGTGCTTAAGTAAGTCCAGGAGCTCCTTGTTGATCCATGGAGGCCTCCTGGCATTCTTGCCTGCCTTCCTTTTTCTCAGGATGCTCTGCTTCTGGGCTGGAGGAGACAGACCTTGAATACTGTTCAGCTTTCTTGGGCTCCTCTTCCCTCCAGGTCTTTCTCCCATGTCACCTGCCATACAGTTCCTTGAAGAGTTCAAGGTCTGCTCTCCTAAAGTCCAGAGTAGCAAGCCTGCTGTGCACCCTCCTTAATGAACTAAGGATCTTGAATTCCACCATTTTGTGGTCACACTTCACTATTTCCTGCCATTTTCTTTGATACTGACAAAATTGAAGTCAGCAACGTTATTATGATCATTTTGGTTCTGTTGTATGTCCTTTGCTTTCAGTGATATTCTGTGGTGTTCTTTAAAGAGAAACTAAAGTCTTATTGATAGGTGGAGCTGAAAAGAATTAGAATCCCCCTAGAAGCATGCATTTCCCTTGAGAACTCCACTTATTTGAAGCTGTTGGATTTTATGATTTCCAATCTTTTTTTTTTTAGGACATTTGAAGAGAGTGAACATCCTTCTTTGTTACATGAGAAACATCAGCTTTACAAACCATTACAACTCCCATGCATTCCTCGGAAATCAGTCCAGTCTTTACAGACTACTAGATTCTCTATGCAGCAAACAGAAACAGGTGCAATGTGCTTCTAATTATCTTTTGTGTGTGTGTGTGTGTGAGGATTTTGGTTTATTTTTGTGTAAATAAATGGAAACCATGGCAATGGTTTCAGCTGTTTTCACTGTGATGGATGTAGCTAGGGCTTTCAGCAGAAGTTGGGTGCATACCCAACTTGTGTTCTGACAACCTGAATTTCTCTCTCATCTGTGCATTGAGTAAAGTGATATGGCAGATATACCTAGCACATTGCATCAGAAAAAAATCTGAACTGTACTTCTAGGAATGTTTGTAAATATATGATAAATGTAACTATTATTTGTAGTAATTTGCTTAGTACTTTCATGTTTTAGCACTTCATTAACAGGAAAGTTTGTATGCTTTGTTGACAAGTTCAGTTTAACAATGCAATGCTTTGGATACTGAATCCTGTATATATAATGTTTGTTAATTTAGGGAGAGAAGAAAAAGAAAATCCTATGGAACAATCAGTTGCTACTACCAGTTCTTCCAGCCATGCAGAAAATCCATCACAGGTATGAGTACTCCCACTGGTAAAATGTGACTGTTTAATCTGTTGTATGTGGTTGTTTAAGTACAAAATACTTCAAATATACCCATTGCTATTTTATCTTACATAAAACTTGTTAATGATGGATTCAAGATGCTGAAGACTTGGTAATCATAGAAATCTTTTTTTGGTGCCATTTCTAACTCAACTGAAATTGCTTAAGTGATTATAAAGTGATTCATGTTATTACTGCTAGTCACATTAAACATTCTAATACTGGTTCCCTGTAGGGAGCCTGAGTTAGCAGGGGGGATGGACTCAATGATCTCTTGAGGTCCCTTCCAACCCCTGCGATTCTTTGATTCTGTGTGATTTCTTTCCAAATTTGGTGTGAACTGTATGTCCAAATAAATAATTTCTGTAAGAGTTTTAAACATAGAATTTGATAGTGTGCAGCAAAGTTTTGGAATTCAAGAAGGAATATAATCTTCTATTACTGATTAATCATCAGTCATCTACTCTGTGGGAAGGGATTTCATTAAGGACTAAGGATGTAGGATGCTCTGTGGGACTGTCTACAGTTTATCCAGGAAAAAAAAAAAAGACTTAGAGGAGTAAAAACTCAGTAGCATTTCTTTGCACACTTCAGAAGTCTGTAACTGTGTTTCCTTCTCTATCCCATAAGCAAATAACTCCTGTGACATTTTTTTGAAAAGGGGAAGTATATTGCAGCTCAATATCTTAAAGACACAAACACAGTAAAACAACCCAAAAACAAGCTGGAGGAATAACTTGCACAGTCTCAAAACAAAACAAACAAACAGGGTTGTTGCCAGGGTAATCCAGATGAGGATGGTTATCTGGGACCTAGAATTGCACTTAGAAAACAGTGGGAAGCAGTAAGTCAAGGTTAAGGAAACTTTAAGAAAGGGTGACAGCAATGGGGAGAAGATGGAGTCAGAAAGGAAAATAGAAAGATTGGAGGAAAGGAGGTCTTTATGCTTCTGGAAAGGAGTGCTGTATACTAAAGGAGGTGAGTAGTGGACAGATTCTGCACGTCCAGTCCTTTTGTCCCCTACCCTGATTCTATGATTCTGTGATATGATTTGCAAATTAAAACCAAACCAGAACTAGCAGCTCCCTGTGAAATAATATGTTATCTCATGCTGAGGCATAGACTCCTAGTGTCACTCTGCCCTTAGGGAACAAATATATGCTACATGTTTGAGTCAGACCTTCTGATCTGGCCAATGTCTGTGAGGGGAGTGTTTCCATATTACCCACAGTTGTTCAGTCAACCTGGCAGACTTAATCACTTTTGTGCATTCTCACTTTGGCCTTAGGAGGTGAAGACATGCCTGGCTACAGTAGTAGTAAACATGAATTTGTAAATTGTGTAATGGTATTTTTATGACTGAAAAGTTAGTTATTCACCTTCAGTTATCAGTGCTGTGAATGCAACTTTATTAGAAATAACAGATGTGGGTTTGGATATCATGTAGAAAAAATGTTAAATTGTAGGTAAAGCAGACAGGCAAAAAAAATTGCATAATCCCTAAAAAGAGCTTAACTGACTGGATTTATGCAATCTAAGGACAAATTAGAAGGATATTGTCAAAGTAACAATTTCACGTGCTCCCTCTCTTGAATTTTTCTTGATGTTTTAGATGGTTATTGGCACTGCTGCAACTACTAATCTACAAGTTGCCCAAGTTCCATCAATAGCAAGTTTTCAAAGCCAAACGCAGTTCAGGTAACTTTTCCCTAATGAAGTAGCTTTCATTTTAGTGATTAAAGTTTATGAAATAATCCACATTCAAACAAGTGTAATTTTTGTCTTTTAGATTGCTACGGCCTCCAAAGCAAGTGACTGCTAATCAACAGTTTGAGAGTGAAAAAAGTGTAATAGGTAAAGTGTCACTGCTGTCCTTTGATCAGATGTGCTCTAACTGTATGCTGACCACATAATGATAGAACAGAGAATTCTAGAAGCCACACTGTCACTCTGAAATGAAGTGGACTACCATTTGTTTTCCTTCTCCACTTTATTTAGTTTTAACTTGTGAGTACAGCAGGCAGACTGAGTCTTAAGTTTAAATGAAGACTGAACTGTGCAGTAATGTGAGATGCATTCTTCATTGACCACTGCTAATAAAGGGAATTCCCCAGAATTTCTAGTAAATCCACACTCATAGTCTCAGGTTGTTTGGTAAAATGAAAACCTGTCTGCAAATCTACTGAGAAGGCATGAGAAAATGCAAAGAAAAGAGCTATAGCAAACAAATATAGGAATCTTGAAGCATCAGATTAAGATTATTAAGAATGAAAACTGATATAAGAAATACACACAGAATGCTTACAGAAACAAAATAGAGAATATACAAATGCACCTGTAGTTCTGAAAATTCAGGGCACTGAGTTTTAGTTTAAATACACTTTTTCCTAATTACACTGTCCATTTAGTTCCATTTTTAAAATTATAGTCCATTTTTTTTTCTGTAAGTAGAATCCTGATTATGTGTCTTAAAACACAAGATCTTACACTGTGTAGAACATTGCTAGTCTGAAGCTTAGAGCAGAAATTGGAGTAACATTTTTCTCATTTCTTATCCTAGCTTTTGCCTAGGTCTTTAAGATACACTTCTTCAGTCTCATGGACATGCTTTTTACATTGTTTCCATGTGGTTCCTATTGACTGGTATGAGCATTCTCAGAGTGCAACAGAAGGATTGGGCAAAAATAGCACTCTCAGGGAGCAACAGCTAAATCTGAAGAATTTACCAAACAGAATGAAGTAACCTTAGTATAGCTTTGACAATAGTAGGTGGCAGAATAAGAGGAAAATATTATGAAAATTTGCCACAGAGTGGGTTATTATGGAAACTACAGTCAGAATACTTCCTTATCAATAGTAATGCCAAGTTAGTAAATCTTCTTTGAGGGTTCTTCCTCACAGTGTAATTTTTACTTATCCATTTAAAATGCTGTTATAATATAAGGAGTGCTGTCTTCTTTGCATAGAAGACCAAGAAGCCAAATGTGGTGATAAAGAAGCAGGAGATGAACCTAAGGATTCTTCTTACATACCTCAAGTAAGCAGAGCATTTTAATGTCATGGGTAGTTATTTTATTTACAGAAGTCAATCTAACTTGATGTATTTGAATCTTTTGGCAAAAGCTAATTGTAATTCTCAGGAATTGTCAAAATGACTCGTTGTAAGGTTATTCCTTATCTTCTGATTACTAACAGAGTGATTTTGAGCATATCAGCATTCTGTGTTTTTTTAATGTTACCTTGACAATGGGACATTGAGGACAATTGTCCTATGCACATTATAGTTTTTAGATAGAACTGTTGTGTGATGTTTTCATCTACGTAAGATAAGATACGTTTGAACATTTTTTGCAGTTTTGCATTTGAAATTGACTTCTCCCACAGAAATATAGTACAGAGAGTAGGCTCTGTGCTGGCCACAGATTCTGAATGGCTTCATTTACACTGCTTTTGTTAGGCATACTTGAATGCAAGTTTAGGCTCACCATGCCATATTATTGAAGCCAGTTCTGTGTACAGCTTGCATATACAGGTGATACTGAGATGAAGTTTGAGACACTCAGCATCCTCTAGCTGGCTTACTACAGGCTGACACCCGCAGGCAACTGGTGGAGAACAATGTCTTTAAAACAATATTGAGTTTAGTGAAAATTGCTCCGCAGAATCCAAGTGTACATTCTCAGTTAACATTTTCTGAAAAAGAGAAAATATTCTTAGTGAATTAATGTATACTCTAATGATTGTGTTCCTTTAATTTGCTAGGGAATATCAAGAGGATTTCAGTGTGACTTAAAGCATTAGCTAAGAGAGAATTTAGAAAGAAACCAAGGCATTGTTTTCAACCAACTCAAATGTTTCTTTTGTGTGAATGAAGACTTTCCTATATGGTTTCAATTGGAAGAAGTCAATTTTTAATTAGTTAAATTAAGATTTCAGTTGTAGCTATGGTGAATATGCAACTGGAAGCCTTTGATTAAATTGCTTTTATTTTTCATGAAAATAAAAATAACTAACCTTAAGACATACAATGAGCATGCTTATAGAAATGGACTCACACTATTCTGGGAAATTACATATGCCATAAATGCTGTTGTGTATTTGTTTTTAACAGGACAGACGTGCGTATTTTAAGCCAAATGAGAATAATCCTGACTCAGCAGCAGAAGGTGCAGAACGTTTTCTAAGAGCACCTGGAACACCAGAGTTTGTTGGAACACCTGACTCAAAGGGGAAGAAAGCCCAGTTTTTTAAAACACCTCCATTTGACTTGTACGAATAAAGCTTTTATTTAGGTTTCAAAAGCAAAATTGTAATGATGCTGATTGTTCCAGTATTTCCAGAATTTTTGAAAGATGCTATAAAAAATCTTTTGTAGAAAGTTCTTCCAAAAAAAAAAAAAAAAAAAAAAAAAAAAGACAACATTTTTCTAAGTTAGACTTTGTTCTTGCAATATCATTTCTACTTGAATTGTAGATTGCTTTTCTTTGGACTGTTTTTTGTTTTTGTTTTTTCTTGGAGCATGAGAGCAAAAGGAAAGGAATTAGTTAAGAGCATCACCTCACTCTGATTTAAAGGGTTATATTGCCTGTTACGTGTTGCAGGAAGCAAATATTGATGGCAGCTAGAGAAACATAGGAAAGTCAGAAAGAAAAAAGCCACCTGTGCTACTTTTTAAAATCATTGATGCAGTTTCTACCTTTTTGTCTTTACAGCATTCACAACATGGGTTGTGAAGAAGCAACATCAAAATCTCCTGCTTTTTTTTCTCTTTTGGGCATCTCCCAGAAGTCACCTGGCTTTAATTTGTTTGATTCTTCTGTATTTGGGGCAGAAAATTCATCTGATGAGGTAAAAATTAGTACTTAAGAATATGAAATTTCCAAAAGCCAAAACATGCTAAGGAACTAGTAATAACTGTGAATGGTTTTTTTTCCAAATGAGACTGCTTTTTGGTGAGTATATTTTAAGAGCTTGCTTAATTTTACACTGGATATCCTTTGAAAATGATTATCTCCTTATCTGCTAATACCCATGCAATGACCTCTGATCAAGTGTGGATCTTTCCCATATGGACATGCAGATGCACAGATAAACTAGATTTACAAAAAGGGTTTCTGACTCAGCATTGCAATGCAAAATTTTAGATACTACTCACATGCATATCCTGTATGGTTTTGTTTGGCTGTAGCAGGGAATCAGTTACTTAAAATGTTAGGTTTTTATCCTCCATGTTTCACACAGTGTGGAATACTAAGGAAAGGAAAAGTTTATCCATTAGAAATGTTAAAATGTAAGTATGTACAAGTAGCTATATTTAAATCAAGGCAATGGATAGGTGGCTAATTGGAACAGAGCCTGGAATCCTGGTTACACTTCTTATCCTTTGCCTAACTACGGTGCTCTAGAGTAATTTTTTTTTTCCTCTCTAGGCTAGCAATATGTAATTGAATATTTGAGATAGGTGTGCATCAGTGTGTAGTGCATTCGTTAGGTATCACTCATCAGTAATGCATACTCAATCCTCCTTATGCAAATAAGGGAATGGAATCCAGGTATCTCAGATTTCAATGGGCGTGCTGAGTCTCGCAGTTACTAGGTGAAAGCTGAAGGAGGAAAACCACATTTTTATATTGTCTTTGGTGAAGAATGTGCTGGTGATACTACCTGGCATCAACAGTGTATAGGAAAGAATAGGCTGTTGAGTAGTTTGTGAGTGGTTTAGGAATGAGATGGGTGCAGGTAAAGTGAAGAAAGTGCATAGGTAAGTCACATAATGCTCTCAGAACCCATGCTGTACTGTGAAAGCTCAGGAATTTAGCAGTGTCTAGCAGTCACTTTAATCTGTGGTCAGATGGGAGTTTTGAACTTATTTACGCATTCACTATAAATACAGCTTAAGAGCTCTTCTGAAGTGTAGTAAGTGCTTATTTTATCATTCTTTCTGGCAACATCAAATCCAACTAACTGTAGGAGGCTTTAACGGCTGTTTCTTAGAGGTTTTTCTAAAAGTTCTAAAATTTTGCAGAATTAAATAGTTTTGAATCTTTTCATGTTAAAAAACAGAAGATCAGATTAGGTTTTGGCCTGTTTACAATCTGGTGTTTTGTTCCAGAAAGTCTGAAAGTGTGCATTTGTAGATGTAAACAAAACATGAAGCTTATTGAAGAGCTTACCTTGAAACTTCAGGGTTTGACATATCAAGTTAAATTTAGAATCCAGTATTCACTGGGAAAGTGTCTTTTTCACTTATTATGTGTCAGCATTAGAACTTATGTTTTTTCTTTCTCATTTGTTAAATAAAATGACTGTTACATTTCAGATAGATGAAGGTTATTCTGTGGGAAACTTGAATCCCATGTCACCACATAAAGATTTTGGTAAGTCTAAAAGTGGAAAGTATTAGAAAGTGTTTGTGTATATCAGCTGTATTTTATTTCTGTTTATATGGCAGGTGAGCTCACAGTTCTGCTGAACAGGGCACCTTTGGTCATCTAAAAAATGTTCCTTTGTTATATGTTGATCTGTGATAACCCTGTTTAGTGGCTTGTTATGTCAATTTGTATTTTGAGTAGAGAGAATTTTATTCTTGAAATACCTGTCTTATGGGATTCGTATGTCTGAGATGTCCTGAAAAAACAGATGTGAGGGAGAGTGCTTCAAACACACCTAATGCAATCCCTGGTTCTTCTGAGATGAACAGCAAGAGGGGAGAAAAGATTTTAAGTGTCGAAGTTCTGTAAGCTTTTTCACTCCTAAAAAGAACTCTGTTCTGTTAATGTAAAAGCTATAGTACTTGGTAAATGCAGTTTTTTAACTTAAAACTACTAGCTCAGTGTTGGAAGAACAGATCTATTGTTTCTCTCTCTCCACAACTGGAATGAAAATAGTTTATAAATGATGAGAGAAACCTAGATCATGAGTTCAAGTCAATGTAGGTGCACAATACAAAAATAGCACAAGTGAGGCAGGAGAATAAGACATTGTAAACCATATTTTCCTCTGACACTCAGCAAGTGTTGGGAGTAAAATATTATAAAAGAAAAGTATGCTAAATGCAGTAAAAATTAACCAATATATTATGTATTCCATATAGGAAGCTTATTTGGAAAATCAGAAAGTGAGGATACATTTGCCTTTCCCTTCCCCTTGGAATCGACTTCTCATGCTTTTGGAGATGGCAAAGATGACTTCAGTTTTCCATTTGCATTTGGAGAAGATCAGAGATCATCGCAGTCTCCTTCTGTGAAAGGTTTTCATTCTTCCTTGCAAAATACGAAGCCATCTACATTCTTTTGAATACCTTTGACTCCCTTTTAAATTCTTTTCCTACTTAGCCTTGACAAATGTTTCCGTTTTCATAAGTTAAAGTACAAAGCATTTCACCTTCTTCTTTCATTTCACTTAAGAACACGTTATTGCAATTGCTGCAAGAGCACGTGTACATTCATCAGATGCGTGCTTTGAGATGCAGCTTTTATTTTTCTTATTTCTTTTCTAAATATGTTGTTTTCATAAAATGTTATGATATGTTCTACCTAAACTGTCTCTTGGAAGTAGCAGAAATGCCATTTTAAAATAGCATGTGGAATAATTATATCCTTATCTGTGAGAGCATCCAAGCTTCTAGATGAGTACTTAGAATCTCTGACTTAAGCATTAGTAAAAGTAACTGTTTATTGTTCTGGACAAAGCTGAATTTGAGTTACTGTTCTTCAATTGGTAATAAAATTCTTGAAATAAACATTTTCATTGATTTTATGTAAGGCTTTGTAGTTATTTCTTAAGATATGAAGTGAAATGATGTTGTAATAATAATACTCGACTTCTGTCTTTCTAGCTTATAACACTGAAAGCAAAGTAAGGTCCTTCCATTTTATCTGGTGTTGTAGTTTGTTTGTTTGTTGTAAAGATACAAGATCAGACAGTTTCCAAAGTCTAACTGTGGTCAGTACAAATACATGTACCAGTTTTCCACAAATGGCTTTCCTTCTGGAATGACTGGTGTTGAAGATAGTACCAAGTCAGAAAGGAATGCAGACTGTTTTGAGCTGCCATGTCAGTGCACAGTGAGCCCCTCAGAACTGTTTCCATGAGCAGCACTTTCAGATTTATGGTTTTTGAGGGAAACACCAGGATGCTTTTGAGTTATCTTTTTAACGTTATATGTAAAACACCTACCATCAGTTCTTGGTTCCTTGGTAGAGAAAGTCTGTTTCTCAGCCACTTAGTGTGAAATAAATGCTCTAACAGCAAGCAAGCAAGATGCTGGAGTGGAAGCAAAGGAAATTGAAGAAGACAATGCAGGGAATTGAACAGAAGACATTGCAAATGTGCCAGCTAGTTAGAAGAACACCTGAACTAGATGAAACAGGCTGACAAAAAGCATCCTACCATTACAGTCTGCACAGTATGCCAGTAAACTCTAATTATAAAGCCCATAGTGGAGTAGAGTTCTCCTTCCCTCTACTTATCTGCAAAACCCTAAGTGACCAAAAGCTCAGTCATCTATGCCACTACCTATCTGCCAAACTCCTAAATGACTTAGGACTGTTTTAACACAGAGACTTGGAGAGCCTGTCTGATATTTGGGATAGTTTTAGGGTATGCTACTGGCAGAGAATCTTCTGAGATCACATAGGAAGCTGAAAAGTGCTGTTTTACTAGCTGAGCTATTCTGTAACTGAACCTTGCTTTCCTGTCATTTGATGAATTCTATCATCCCTATCTCTGCCGTTATAGTGCAGTAAAGAGAGCTGCTGGCTGAAGTGGGAGAAACCACAGTTCTACATCTTGCTGAATGATTATTTAGAGAAACTGGATAAGCTGGTTGATTGTAAGAAAGAGAAAACTAGTTCATTAAAGGCAGCAGCTCAGTATTTTGGATACTTCTCAGATATTTACAAGCATTAATGGCTTTTAAACATGCACTGGGACTTTTTATTGTTGTGTCAAGCTTTGCCTGAAAATGATCCCTTGTTATCATGCCCATCAAATCAATAGTGGTTATGTTGCTGGATTGCTGAGACTCAAATGCTGACTGATTTTGTTTCTTCTGTCCTTTCTGTGAACATCTGATTACAACAATCTCTTGTCAAAAGGTGTAGATAAAGATCCTCTTGTCAATGTAGCAAGGGTTATTTGAGAACAAAGAGCTTTTTGTTCATTACCAGTTGTAATTTGCTGTTACTGTCCCTGTTGTGTAGATAAAGTTGAAGGACTGTGTGCCTGTTCCTCAATCCTCAAGGCAGAGTTGGTAGGTGTGATGTGTATCACTGCTGAAAGTGAGGGAAGCTAACTTAGTTGACTCTAGTTTCCAGTAGATGAGGAACAGGTCTGACACACTTGAGTGCAGCTGAGCTAGAGACCAGTAGGCTCCAGCAGTGGGACAGCAATGGCAGCTGGAGGGCTGAGATCTCGTAAAGGCAGTGCAGCTCTCTTCACAGCAGTAACTTGGTTGTACTGTGTGCTTGTACTGTGAACACTTGGAAGCAGAGGTTGTCCTGTTCTGCCCTTGTATGGCACCTAATAAAACAGGATTCGGGTTCATAACTGAGCCCTAAGGCAATAATGATACAAAACCTCACCCTCTCTTAAATAAGCAGAGCAGGGCTTTGACTTTGAATCTTGTACATGTATCGTAATCAGAAGGCAAATGTTTTTTTACCATCTCATGGAAGTTTATAGTCACATTTTTGTCAGAAAACTGTTTCACTTGAAAATTCCTCATAAAAGCTAGCATACCACCTAGCATTAGAGAAGTCCTGATCTGAGCACCTGATCGAGCTGTAGGTATCCCTGTTTGTTGCAAGGGAGTTGGAGTAGATGGCCTTTAAAGGTCATCATGTAAACAGTATAGAATGGTTAGCTAACAAATAAGCAACAGCTGGGCAGATTTCATGCAAAAAGTTAACTTAGAAGCTACGAAGTAAAGCCAGCCTGCAATGACTTCTAGCAGTTGTAGGATGTAGTGTTTATTTTCATGTAATGCTGTTCTATGGCCTCACACAACACCTTTGAGAGAAAATTAGACATTCATCAAACTGTTTCCACTCAGCAATTAGCAATTCATTCATTTTCTGTGACTTCATTCTGAGTCTATCAATATAAAACATGTGTGCATGGCACAGGGCTCTTCAGGACAAATTTCATTGTGCTACTATATATAATTCTTAATGTGATAGAAATGTAAGTGTTCCTTCTTTTTAGATCAGATAAAAACTGTTCAGTGTTCAGGTGTAAATGGGGCATATAATAGTGATGAATTTCATTCATTTCCATATTAAATTTTTAACAATACGATTGTGTGAATATGCTGAGGGGCAAAGAATAGTACACAGCATCACACTCTAGACTTACCTCCTTAAACTGTCCACTCATTTTATGAGTAATGTATCAAACAGAATGCTGGAGAAATTGTACTGAAACAAGTGGTACAAAAGTGAATTACCACTCATGTATTGGGTAGAGCACATTCAATGTAAGTAGTAGCTCTATGTTTAGCTACCTGTTGAGACAAACTGCAGGATGCCAAAAATACACCTGGAACTCTAACCATCAAGCAATTAATTAAAACTGTTTGCAACTCTTTACTGCCCAACTTGCAGCCTTTCCTTACAGTTCAATAAAGTCACTGCACTGAACTCCATTGAAATTCTTTTAATGCTTGCCTGCCACATTTGGGGCCTATTTTAAGGAAAAATATTCTAGTTTTGCTTTTTATTTCAAGACTATGAATACAGTTAAGACAATGCTGGATATCAAGAGGCATCACTGCACATATACAGGTAAAAGCAAACTTTAAGGGCAGTGGTAGATGAATAATTGCAGTGTAAGAAAACAATCTTATACGATAGCATTAACATGCTTAAGCATTTCAAGGAAATAAGCTTTAAGTGCTACTTATTGTAACAGATTGGAATGTGTAGACTTACAGTATTAGATGGTAGTAATCTCCCCAGTGCGAGGCTGATTGTGTGGGCAGCAAGAGTTGGCTAATCCTTTTCGGTCAGTGCCATAAAACAAGGATTAGTTTTTCATTTGCTGCAACTGAGTGGGTCATTAGGATCCAAAGACACTAATGAGCCTGAACGGGCAATTGGATTCTGCTTTCAAAGTTGTGAGCTAGTCTAAAAGGAGATGATTGTGTCTTTTAATGATTTAAAACAGGATGTTTCAGTGACCTTCTTCTGAAAAAAAGAAAAAGAAAAAAGAATTAAAGATACATAACCATGGAATGCAAACCTGGAATGTTGACTTTTTCTCTTGGAACTTGAGTTGTTGCCAGATTCATTGCCTTAGAGGCTGAATGGCTCATTTAGGAATGTATCTGTTGCCTTGCTTTTATGTTCTGCTCTTGATGTCTCCAGAGTTGACACAAGTCACATGCGATCAAGTCTGTATCCCTGGTGGACAGGCACTGTCCTAATGTTCTCTGACTCACACCCAGGTTGTTTGCAGCTCAGCAGTTCTGCTTCCAGACACATCACTTTGTGTTCTGATGCTAACATCTTGCTGAGAAATTGCCTCTTGGCACGCTGTTTCTTGAATCCTGTACCTTGCTTGATTTGATGTGAAGATGATGCTCTTTTTAGCACTTGCAGCATGTCACCTTTGGAAAGGTAAGGTTTCCCCCCTTACTTTGCTGTGTTCTAGATTTTTTTTCTTTTCAATAGCTGTGTTCCACAATAATATGTTGTCTATGTTTGATTTCATTCAAATAATAGATGCTGCCAAAAGGATGTCAAAGAAAACACCAATAGGTGGATATTTCAGTTTTAAGAGAATGTTTAAATATATACAAAAAGCAAATGGATTGATTGTCATCATTCCTTAGGGGAAACAAGGTCAAATGTTCTAATAACACAATTTTCCATCACACACCATAATTCACAAAGCAACCACAAAATTATTTCATAGCACATCTTATTCCATAGTCCTCTGAGAATTGGGTTGGGGAAAATCTGGGGAAGAAGAACTGCAGGGTTAAGTACAAAGTTCTTGCTGGTGGGGAACCACCTGCTGTGGCTGGTGGGAAGCCTGGTAGCTGACAGTCCATTCTGAACCTCAGTTTGGAGCTTGCAGTTGTCTTTTGCTCCCTCCTGCTGGAGCAGGACTGCCTTTGGCTAAGTGTGGGTTCTTGCTGTTTTCTCCTTCTCTTGTGGCACATTTGGCTAGTTTTACAAAATGCATGGTACTGTGAGCAGTGATGTTGCTCACTGCTACAGATGGAAAGGGCTTATGTCCAGAAGCTATGGGTATCAGGAGTTATTAAAAATGTTTCTTAACCATTACCAACAAATCCCTTGTAAGCATTGCTTAGCAGGAAGGTGCCGAGTCTTTGAAGCCTTCCAGCCATCCCCCAAATGGGACAGGTGTGCACCCCCATTTCAAATCATCCCAGGTGGGTTGACAAATGTCACCTGATAAAATATGTACTTAAAAATAATTTTTGCCTTGAGAATCTCATCCTGGATGCTTTTGACTTGTCACATTTCTCACTGCTTCGTATATTGGAGTTATCACGTCCATTTCTCCATTGTAGTTGGAAGAGGTTCTCAAAAATATGCCAACTCATTGCTGATGTGGTGAGATGTTAAACCAAGGCCACGGCCACCAATTCTCATTGCAAAGCCCACTGCTAGTCACTGCTGCTATTCTATTAGAAGAAGAGCGGTGCAGTGCATAGCTTAGATTTTTTTCCCCATCTTGAAACAATTCATGTGAATCATCATCAGAG